TAATTCACAAAAGGTCTCTGCAGCATTTTCAGAAACTACAAAATCAGAAGAAAGACTGTTGATTTGACTTTATGTTTTTATTATGAGCTGGGCAAGAACACAGGAGCCAATGACCAAGATATGATTCAGTCACTTCATGACAAAATGAGTGACGTACTGGCTGCAGCTTGGACGCTGCGGGATCAAAGGTTTGGCTGTGTAGAATTCATTGTGGGTGGTGCTGAAGTGCTGTTTGGCCAGTGGAAACCTGATGTTGCTCTATTTGATTAACAGACAACAACAAACGATGTAATCATTACAATATAATATTACACTGGGAAAAGAAAAATAGAGAGAGTCTAATGCTATTGCCACTTGCTACTATCATTATTGTTGCTACCACTATGACAACAGCTATTACCACGTCTGCCACTACTGCCTCTGTTACATTTTGGAGAATTTCACCAATGAGTTTATTTTGTGATCTCTCACCGTTTGTTGCGACTGAAAAGGTGTCTGTTTGCAGGTCTTCAAAGGAAGGAAGTCAGCTTTGGTGGTGCTGAGGCTCACCCCAGGTTCTGCCAAACAGATTGAACATAGTTAATATCTGAATGTACTTTCCTTTAAACACACAAACAGAAACAATCCATCACCTTGTCCACTCAGTATGTTGCTTGGCAGCTGGATGGCTGGTCTGGCCTGCTCTCCATCCTTTTTGCTATAGTGTTCTTTGGCCGTGGTTGTGTAGTACAGGCCTGACAGATTGGGTTGGCTGAACACATGGCTTTTGGTCATCAGGTCAGGCCCAGGCACAGACACTGGATGTCCTGTGAGGTTAAGCTATAGAGAGGAAGACAGCAATCAAAAATGACTTGATTTATTTATTGCACAAAACTTTACCACAGCAAACTACATCAGAAAAATTGTCCAACTGTCATGAATTAACCTGAAGTGAAAACTGTTCACTTTATAATTTATACAACATTGTCTTCCAGTAATGTTATAAATACAAAAAAATAATTAAGTAGAAAGTCTGTTATCTCACATCAGAGAAGCAGATTCTGTTGGTGGTGACTGACATCCTCTCTTTGTTGCGACTCGCATCAGTGTCCCCCTTGGGTAAGGAACTGGAATTTCGATTCCTCTTTGTCAGAACAACCGGATCGCCTGGGAATATATATATTGATGATTATACATTTGTACTTTGCCCAGTTGGAGGCCTCCTGCGGTGAAGGCCCTAAGCAGCTATTTAATTTACTTTACTATTTATTTACTTTACTCCATTTGTGCTGTTACTAAATGTATTAAAGTCTTCACCATGGGAAATTTAATGTAAAACCTAGATGTTTAGTAAGCACTGCAAAAAAAAACTTACCCAGCTTGTGATGACAGAAGGTTTGCTTGGTTGTGGATGACCATGAGTCTTTTGAAAAATTACCGAGCTTGAACTTCAATCGCTCTTTCACCACAGGTGGACTGTATCAAAAATGCAGAGAGAGCTTTTATTGGATTTGTGTGGGGATATATTCAAAATCAGATGATGTGAGCTTTCAAGGAGTGACAAACAATATGTTTGGAATTTAATATTTTAGACTACTTTAAAATAAAATGTATCTTTTAGGCCTCGAGTCAATAAAATACCAATTTGACAAAAAGAGACCTAAATGGTGACTCCTGGCCCTACAGCCACGGTCTCCTCTACTTTTTGGCATGTTTGTGTATCGGATGTCAACTGAGTCATGTGATGGGAGTGTTTTCAGTGAAGCAGAAAAGCTGCAGACCTGTAGGTGGTGGGCCAACTGAATGACCCAGTGTGTGTTGTCTCTCTTTCTACAATCTTCACCGGATCACCCATTACCACTGAGGAGTGCTGAAGGAAGACATCATAAAAACAGTGACAGTCACAGTCTAGTGCTGATGACACTCATTTCATGGAAAGTGTCATGAAAAGGTCAATATCCTTGCCACTCATGTGTCTACTTAAAGCTGATGTTGGTGTGACTGTGTCTTCGTAGTGAGAAAATGGCTTCTCAGTTAAACTTCCTCCTAGTTTTTTTTTTGTTTTTAATTTTTTTTTTTTTTTTTTTGAATAATCAGTTTAAGGTTATTCCTAAATCTACTTGTGTGCCATGGCTTAACTGCGGGATGTATGAGTAAATAGAAATGTACATTGTGGAGTCAAAAACACTGAAACATAGTGGAGAAGGGCAGAAAGTACAATGATGTCAAAATTATTTAGGTATAGGTACATCTCTTGAGTAAATGGACTTTGTTACTGTTCACCACTGTTCGGTGCATTTGGACTTTTTGGTGCAACATTTAGGCTATGAGTTATACATGTTAAATATTCCAGCCATGTGGTGTTCAGCTGGAATAATCACAATATCTCATATCACCTTGTAAACAGGATGAGCAGCTTTGCCCCTGGCTCCCTGGAAGGTGGTGTTGTACTGGGAGACAAAGCTTTGATAGCGTCCATCCCCTTTTATTGTGGGAAAGCCCTCTTCTACAGAGAAATGCACAATATTTTAATTGTTAAATTTTACAGATACACCCTCACACAGATTCCCTCACTGTTATTCACTGCAAGGCAATTATGTGGTCAGTCTGACAGTTTTTTACTCACTTTTAAGGGCCAATTACAAATCAAATTTGATGAATGCTCAAATCAATCATATATGGCCTACTGCTGAGCTCATAATCTAATATGAGTTTATTGTTTTAATCAGAAAACACTGCAAAATAATCTGATTAAAATTAGGAATATTTTCACCTACCTAGATGTTTAACTGTGGGTTTGACAACAGGAGAACCACGGTGTGGATTGAAGGTGGCTTTGTAGGTGCTTTTTGGAAGCTTTTCCACCTGCTGGATCTTCTTGATGGCCTCTGATTGTCGAATGGGGGTGGGAGGGGCCTGGAAGGGCTGGGGCTGTAATTTCTCGGAGTGTGTGGTGAGGAAAGTAACCTCCTTAGGATCTGTTTGCATCTTGAAATTAGTGCAAAGCTTGGTCCATCGTGGTGTGCGAGTTATCTGTGGCAATGAGTGAGGGTGGTAGGAAACCATCGCCTCTGTCTTGTACTCCTTGACATGCCTCAAATCCTTGTGGTCCACCTGGGCTGGCATGGGCTGAGGAACTGGTTCTGCTTTCTTGGAAGAGCAAGGCTTGAAATCCTCCTGGAAAGTGGTTGAATATGCATCAGGATGGTTGTTGTCCAGAAATGGGATGTTGGTAGACAGTAACCCAACAGGACGGGCTGGAATCAGTTTTTTCACCATTGCCGTCATGTTGCATATCACTGGTGTCCTCCTTACGTTATTGTAACTCTTTGGTTAAGCTAACTGTGTTCTTCTGAAGCTGGTGAAAAATACTACAATGCCTCACCATGGAAACCTCTGTGCTGTGGAACATGATGATGTCGATACTGTTGCTGCTCCTGCAGAGAAACAAATGCATGCCATGGTGTCATCTTACAAGGCCAAATGCAATGAGAGGACACACAAAACTATTCAGTTGTAACATTTAATTGCTCAACAAGGAAGCACACAAACTACTGCTCATTCTTCAGTAACGAGGCTTGCAAGAAAAAAATATCTAAATTTTCCTGGTTATCAGACAGTCATGGGGGATCTATTAGTGTACAGACTTCCTTCTATCTGCCTGGCTTTGCTAACAAAGCAATTTCAACACGTTTAACATTAGAAACTTTGGGTGGTGGGATATTATAAGTTTAATTTTTCACTATTTTCTGATTTTTTTACAAACCAAACAACTACATGATTAATCAAAAAAATAATTATCATTTTAATCAATAATGAGATTAATTATTAGTGGTAGCCCTACTCATAAATATTTCCGTTTTCCCTTTTTCAAGCGTTGTATGCATAATTCAGCAATAGCTTAGATAAAATTACAATACCAACTTGTATAGTGGGATGATTTTGTCCTGTAGTGTTGCCATTTGGGTTCAATTACATTGAAATCATTTGAATTTGTTGCTTTCAAATGATAATATACAGGGCCAAATATATGACACTGGATCAAAAGAAAGGCTTTGGTTAGATATAACATGCATGTTGTATATGTGAATGCATGCACAGAATATAAAGTACATATTAATGTACTTTAATTTAAAGCATTTTAAATCAGTGGGGTTCAACTTACAGTATCTCTAACACACTTCATTCTGTTTCTTAATTAGGCACCAATGCACTGTTGCAATTAGCTGTCAACACACTGCTCGCTGTCGCCCTCCTGAGTCTATTTTGTGGAATAACATTGTGGAATAATAATTTAAAAAGAAACACAACAAAAATTGTACTGCTCCAGTCACCTTGCTGGATTATACACAAAAGTGTGTGGTTCCTCTCATACATTTGTCACATTATAGGCAGTGGAGATAGATAGATAGATAGATAGATAGATAGATTTACTTTACTTTACTTATCCCCTAGGAGAAATTCATGAAATGAATAGAGAAATGTAGTAAAGAAGAAGGATAAATTAGAATGTAATGGAAATACTTAAGTTAAGTACAAGTACTTCATAATTGTACATAATTTTGCAGAACTTGAATAAATCTATGAAGTTACTTCCCACCACTGACTGGGCTTTAACATGAGACTTTTTCGTTTTGAAGTGTCTCTCAGTGTACCAGTACCAGTAAGAATGTACAGGGAAACACACACGGTCATTTCAGTTTTAAACTAATATAAATGGGATTTGTTGGTAAGTGGGTGTTTAAATATTACAGGGTTGTTGCACAGGGATAGTTTCTGATATTACATGACTGGTCAGCTGTTCATTAGAGTGATGGCATGTGGGAAAAAACTGTTCTTGTTCTTCTAATGCTAAATGTTCAATTAAATGTGTTATCCATTACTACGCACTGAGTGTGGTGTACTGTTCATGTTCTTTACAAAGCAGATTAGATGAAAAAAATGAAAATCAACTCAAACGTGATAATAAAAAAATAATTAGCAAAAAAACACACTTTTATTCCCAAGGAAACCGAGCAGAAGGAAGTGACGTGTTTCGGCGTCAGCCTCTTCCGCTCTCTTTTCGTTGAGGCTCAGCTAGCGGCCGGGTGAGTACACGTTTTGCCCAGACTATATTTGTCGATTTTTATTGATGTATAAGTGTTTCAATGTGGTTAAAATATAACACAATTAATGTAATATCAGCCGCAATTGGGTATTGTGTATCACTGGCTTAGCTCGGAGGCAAAAAATAGAGAGAATTGTTTCAAGAGTTCCACGCTAACGTCACGCATGTGGCGAGGCCCCGCACCGTGTTCAGTCTGCGGCTAACATTAGCAAGTAGCTCGACTGACAGACATTTTGGACAAGTTTTCACGGCCAGTATAGTGATTTAGATACGAGCGGTGGCTCTTTTTTTTGTACTGTTTAACTCCTTATTTTCTTGGTATGACTGGCCTTTCTACGATTGCCGTAAAATTGCCGTTAGGACCTAGCTAGCTGCAACTGAAGCTAACGTCAGTTCTCTATCCCAGCCTGCAAACATGCAGATCTTCGTGAAGACGTTGACGGGGAAGACCATCACCCTCGAGGTTGAGCCCAGCGACACTATCGAAAATGTCAAGGCTAAGATTCAGGATAAGGAAGGTGAGTCACAATCAACTCTGAGCGTAATGACAATCCTGATAGTTCGTTAACGTCAGCTAATAAATGTAACCGTAATGCAATCATTTCTTTACCCTTAACTTTACCTGTTTTGCCAACTGTGGTAGAAGAGTATCTTAAGTTGAACTGTTACAGGTGTATAGTTTGGGCAAGTCAGTAGAGTTGGTCTAATGAGGGAGCGGATTTCTGACCCTCTAGTCAGACCATTAGAGGGCCAGTCAGTGTGACACTGGGATTTAATAGCAGTTAAAAAATTGTTAGCAAATAGACATAAAGGCAAAATATTTCGTGTGATATGTTTAAATCTTGGCCAGTGTTCTGAGCCATTTGGCATCTCTGCCTATTGTACAATTTTTATGCGAGTTTGTTAAGTGTTACTGTGTTTGCAGGAATTCCCCCTGATCAGCAGCGTCTGATCTTCGCTGGCAAACAGCTGGAGGATGGACGTACACTGTCTGATTACAACATCCAGAAAGGTAACTTCTTATTTCAAGCAAGGCAAGATATTCTGAATGTCTGTCACAGTAAACCATAGACAAGCTTCTCATTATAAAATACACTAAACACTAGTGAAATCTTAAGGATGATGGTGCTCCCAAAGTGTATCATTGCCATATTTGTGTTTTCAAATGGATATGCAAATAACATTGTCATGGATGTATAGCTATTGTACAGCATCTTTTGTTTCACTCTTAAAGGAGAGAGCTCCACTGGATTTTAAAATGTATCTGGAGTCTCTAAGATGCCAAAGTAGAGAGAGCTTTCTAAAGGTCTGTGTGGATGTGACTGATCTTCAGATTGACATAAAGGTGTCTAAACTTTCCACCAGAATCCACTCTGCATCTGGTTCTGCGTCTGCGTGGTGGTATCATTGAGCCTTCACTCAGACAGCTGGCCCAGAAATACAACTGCGACAAGATGATCTGCCGCAAGTAAGTCTAGATTTGAATATCATCCAATGAGTCTTTTTAATTTGTGTACAGTGCTACCGATATTTAAAGTGAAGTGGTTGGATAGAGTTTAGAATACAGGACTTTTTATTTTGCACTGAGGGAAGTGTGCTTTGGTCAGTTAAGTACAGACTTGTTCTGGAAAAAGTAATGAACTACATGGAGATGAGACAAGATGGAGGCTGTTTTAAATTGAAGAGTGTTGTGATTAATGTGTGTAAACATTAGCTGAAATTGTGAAGGATAGCCATTGTGAGCAACTAAAGGCTCTACTGTACTAACCTTAGATGGTTCAAATGTAGATGTCTAAATTTGTTGGCACTAGAACTTAATATCTTAGTTTCCAAAGAACTGCAAGATCCAACTTTAAGGTTGGTTCATGAAGACTTTCTTTGTAACTGATCCCTGACCTCTTGTGTTCCAGGTGCTATGCCCGTCTGCACCCACGTGCTGTCAACTGCCGCAAGAAGAAGTGTGGACACACCAACAACCTTCGCCCCAAGAAGAAGCTGAAGTAGACATTTTGACTGAATCGGCTCTGCATGCCATTTTGTGTTAAAATAAATGTAAGAAAATTATGCTGGTTGTCTGACTTGTATTATTCAGTGGGGCTTTCACAAGGCAGGAAGAAATGTTAAGTGTAGTTTGAATTCATTCGTGCATTATATGGACATGGGGCTGTGCAAGAAAAAGTTACCAGACTGACTGAAACAGGCCTGTCCACTGAATTATCTGGGTGACTCTAAACCTGCTTTTTTGAACTGGCATTGCTTGAGACTAGAACTGTGATGGTTTAAATTGGTTGACCATAACTTCCATTTTATTTCAATTTGGCCCCAGAACAGCACATGCCACTAGTGCCAACCTGAGTCGATGGCTTTATTTGGCAGATGAACAGAATCGCAAACAATACAGACTATTAAACACTTCACATGGCTGGTAGTGCCTTAATCCAAATGCTCAATGTACTGTACTGTCTCCATCACTAAAAAGCTGTGAAAAGAGTTTATCACAGCATTCCCAGCTCCTGCTGCTGTTAATCAGCGGACTCAGTGTCATACCTGCTGCTCCATGTGCTGCTTGCACTCTAAACAGCTTTCCCAGCCTTGCTGCTACAAGCAGCATGAACAAAAGGGGTCAGTCAGTGTTGACTAGAAATGACAAAGTGTTGACCAAGCTGACTGACAGACGGCATTTTCAGTGTCAGCTGACGCAGTGAATACCAGAATCGGTTCAGTTGATATGAATCAAGTGGAAATATAAGATGCAAACTGTAAGAATGCTGAATAACAACAAAACCCCAGAATTTCTTAACCTCCCATCACACAAAGAACACAGCAGTGACTTTGCATGACTGAGTTTTAATGTTAAACAGTTCTATACAAATATAAGGAACTCATCTCACATTGACAAACCCCATACAAACCACCTGCTCTCCTCAAAGTCAGTATTTCTTTCTAAACAACAAAACTGTGGCCTTGTGAACACCAGTTGACAGTTTTTCTCTTTTCCTATTGACCGATACTTCAATGAAACTAACCTGAACTAACTGAAGTATTCTGAGGTATTTTGAGTCATACTGAAAGGTCAAATGTTTTAGGACACTGAGCAATTAAAAACAAACTTAACTTTGATCATCCAATGGAGATGAAAGTTCAGCATCATTCAGATGTTGCGTGTTTTTTTTCTAGTTTATGTGGCCTCGGCATGACAGTGGCGCATCTTTGGTGCTGCATTCTCTCTAATTGCTGGACACAGATGTTTTCTATAAAAAGGCCTTATTCCAGTGTATTTAAGGAGGAATCCACCACAGATATTCAAATGTTCTGTTAATTGCCATTTATTGTAGGATTTTTGTTGTGGTGTGTGATTTCCTTTATTCTCTAGAATGTTATCCTCCCAATAAGGGCTATAAACTGTTTTGCTATTTAAGATGGTCATAGTGGAACAGTGAGTAGTTTTAAGGAGCTGTACTAAAGTCATGTTTGTAATTTCAGCCAGAAAGAATCAGAATGGAGACAGAAAGTGTAATATGTGGAAGGTGCCCAAATAGTCTGAAATACAAGGTGAATTTCTCCTTTAACTTGAAGATACACAATAATACTGAAGGTCTTATTCACTTTCTGTTAAATTATAAGACAGCTGGTCATATAATGTACTTTAAACACTAATGTGCTGCTAGTTGATCTTGAGAGGAAAAATCAATCCTCTCTGTTTTCCCACACTTTTCAGTAGAGGGGTCAGAGGTTAGTCGGGTGGTGGGGTGGTCTTACAGTTAGAGGACTCCGCTCCCTTTTTGTTTATACTGCTAATTTATTCACACAGTGCTATTGTGTGGAAATTATACACTGGAATAAGGCTGCTGTGAAGCTAAGCGTTTCTGACATTAACCATGAGGAGCTTGTGCTGAGGAGCCGCTGGCTTCTGTATTTTGTTCATGCTTTGATAAAAGGCTGGTAACAATCTCTTTTAATCTTTTTAAGCCATGAGAGAAAAAAAAAACAGCTGTTGATAAAATGAATGAGAACAGGCGTCATAACCTACAAATTACTTGTATTAACTATGAACAAGCATCTATGCTAGAAACTTTATTGCTAATTCAGTGATACTTGCATGTAGCAGCGGATGCCAGAAATGCCAGACATTGTAATAACTGGTCAAAGTGATGAAAGAGTCAGTTTTGCCTCTTAATGTGATCAATGCAATAACATTACATTATTACTGTTTTACGTTTGTTGAAACAGCTGAGGGGATCATTTTGACTGATAAAAAGTAGTTCACAGTTCAAAATGGTACAATGGTACAAATCATTAATGGCAGGTTTTATATAATAAAACTACCACATTCTCTGGCAGTTTATTACATCAACAGATTTCGTTATGACCCGTTTAAATCACACTTTGACGTGTTATTATGATTCTGGCAGTTACTGCATCATCAGCTGCAAAGAACTGCACCTTATTTTTTTGTACCTATCAGTAACTCATCAGGAGGCGAGAAGCGAAAATCAATAGTTTGCCTCAGACGTTCACATACAAAGCTTGACAAGTCAATTAAGTACCCATTTGCTAAAACTACTGCAGTTGTGCTTTTTAACTCGAGCAGTCTGAGGTGTAGCACACTGCTAAGTAATGTGCATACGCGCACACACACACAAACAAACACACACACACACACACACACACACACAGTTTCACATTCCTTGGCAGGTACGGGGCTTCTGCAGAGCTCATGCAGTGCTCTCATAGTGATCTATGCTCTGCGGCTTCGCATAGCCTCTCTCTAGGGTTATTTTTACTATTATGATAAATGCTAGTGTTGAGGAACACAGAAAAAGTACACACATAAAGTAAAACTGGATCATTTTGTGAACACAGACAAATGTAAACAAAATAAAACTTGGCACAAACATTATCAAGTGCAATCTCAGGTCCACAGGCCACAGTGACACATTAAGATCTTCCCTTCAAATGCTGATCTACCTGTCAAAGTGGCCAGTGGAGGGGACAGACCTGCCAGCCGGTAGCTATCATTGATCCCATGGTGCCTGTGAGTAACCCATCCACGAGCATGAATAATAGAATAAGTGGTGACAAAGAGCAGTCATCGTGAAACATGAGCAAACAAACAAAAAAAAAAAGTCGTGCATTGGTGATCCTCAGTGGACAAAATGGGAGCAGGTTGCTGCATCTCTGAGTTTGTTGATGTTCTGGCTGGTGTGAGGCCAGTCCAGGCTGCTGATGGTGAACTGGAACTGACTTAATTCAGGGTCTTTGCCCCGGTGTGTCCTCGGATGGTACTGGGTGCATCTCCACAGTGTTAAAGGAAGGATGACACCAAAATAAACTCAAGTGTTATTATAGAAAAGCAGACATTGTATAGCTTGATTTTTTTCCAGGTGTCTTTTGAGCACTCACCTTTTAGATTTACCAGTAACATTATGAGAAAATGTAAATCTAAAAGCTTTATTCGTACCAGACTATTACGTGTGGGCCTCAGGATTTTAATTTAATGTGAAAGAAGCATTTATGGACAGTCACGTTGAGGTGTCTATAAACCAAGTGTCCAGAATTATGATAAAAATTTTATGTTTAGTATAGCTATAAAAATGCAATTATTCATAAAACTTTCCGCCAAACTCTGATGCAGCTCCTGCTGTTACAGTTACTGTCCATGCTCAGACCTCCAGCTCTGCAGGAAATCAGAACACCACTGGCTTTTAGTAAACACTGTCAGGCTATTAGTCTTTGATTGTTTCCAAGTTGTACGCCTTCTTAGTGAAAGAATATACTCATATAAGTAAATTTCCCACTCTGCATTAAATAAAAATAGACCTCACAAAAAATGATCTAACAAACAAGTAGAAAATCATTTGATTCCGGTTAGAAATGTGCTTTGTGTAGTAGTGTGCATTGCTATGAATAAATCATTACCTCATTAATTTTGAGGCATCAGTATCATTACCATAATCAAACGAGACCATCACTGAAATGACTTTCAGCCTCTTGCAGATTCTGCTCTGCAGTTTTACATTGCAAACCACCAGGTCAGATTTAGACAAAATACACTTGGTTGCCATGGTTCCAAAAAGGAGGAGGAGGGCGCTGTTCTTCCAGAAAAAATGGACCTAAAGCTGTCAGAGTCATCAGTGATGGCAAATGATGAATAAAGTAAGAAATATAATGTAAATATCATTTTATGCTCTTCAGGATTGAAGGACATGCAGCTGATGGGAACTGTGACATGGAAAAACAAGCAGCAGTAGCCAATTAGACTATACTGTCATATGATAATAACTCCAAGGTTAATGAGACACTGATGCACAGTACAGATGGTTTATTCTGCACATGGTACCTGTAAGAGGTTTCTGATATTGTGTGTTTTCCTGCACTGAGCTTAAAAGATACATGAAGGTAAACACCAGTATGTTTTCCTCCATATTGCTTTGATTTCTCTTCTGATGTTACATCAGTGAAACACAAATCAAGGCCACATGAAGGAGACCAGCTCTGACTGTGGAGATGCAGCCCAGCTGTCTGCTGTGGCTATTTATCGATGAGTTTGGCTAGGCTCTGTCTCAGGTCCTTCAGGTCGCAGATTTTGACGTCCAGAACCTCGATGACACGCCGAACCTCGACTTCAGCCTGCTCCCGCTCATCCCGGCTGGAGGCCAGTGTTTTTTCAGCGCTCTGAACCCGATCCTCCAGCTCCGTGTTTCGTCTCTCCAAATCCTGCACATAAATGAACAGTTGTTGATGCCGTATTATATATGCCGATATTTTCTGCATCTTTTGGTGCCCAACTTGTACATTAGACATGTTCTTTGTATTTTTGTGTTATTAGCATCAGCATCCAATGCTCTTTACAATGTATTTCTTTGTGGGGCACACCTTGCAGTGTTGTACTGTAAATCACTCTGGTCTAGAGTGTAATTCCTGCTATTTTTGCCACCTCTGTCCATAAATATGCTCTGAAAATAATGTTATAGTGGAACAGATGACTGGCAGTAATGCATATGTGTTTTGTACGTTGCTGTTCTCTGCCTGTATGGGTCCTCTATCTAAAGTTTGGGTGAGCAACACTGATCAAAGTTACGTGTTATCAAAATTAGGACATTGCACACAAATGTTTACATCTGCAAACTGAGTTTAGTGATGGCAGGTACAGTCTGTCCCAGTGTATATCTACATGCCTACATTCTTTCTGCACATTTAAAGTTCAACATACAGTATACATTCATGTTGGACTTTAAATGTGCAGAAGGAGTGTACCATATTGTAACAAATACTGCCCATTCAAACTGGGACAGAGAGCAACTGCAGCACAACAACTTTGGAGCAGGTACAAGCAAAGCATCATGTTTAAAGTCCCTGGTCTGTAAATTTGTCATTTCTTGTGTGGCTGCTGACTGCGATAGAGTTTACTGAGAATTTCCTATCAGGCTTATTTGCTTTAAACTGTTCATACTGCAAATAATTCAAATGTGCAATTTTGTGTTTTATAAGGTTTGTCTGTGTGCCAAAAGTAGCAATGAACAGATTAGGGAATAAACACAATGACAGCAAAGGTTAAATATGAATATACATAATTTACAACTGACACCACTACTAAAAGTGATAGAGGACCTAATCAAGGCTATGTAATATGCATCAGGTGTAATCCCCTGCATTAAGATGGAAATTCAATACAATTTGTTTTCTCCTTGAAATCCTCAGTTCACCTGTACCGATTATTTACTGCACCGCTATGGTCTGAGCTGCACTGTCTCTTTTAAAACTACAGTATTGGCACTTTGATTTTCCATTAGTTGACTGTGTGGCTCTGTCTGGTTTGGAGAACAAAGAAGAAACCAGCACATACACCTGTCAGCACTCTACAAAACTAGAACTTCTTACCACAAAAAAAAAGAAACATCTTGTCTACGCAGATCAAACCAGAAACAGATCGCACTAGAGTAAGACTTGAAAAGAAAGTCCTTGAAAGACTGAACTCTGGGACCTCTTAGCGATTGAACCACAAGCACCAATGGCAAAAAAAAAGATGTGAATGTCTCTGTTCACACTGACAATGAAATGCGTTTCTCTCTCCTTGTCATTGAAGTAGTTTTCCTACTTCTGATATAATACAAGCTCTGCAAGGTTAAGTTACAATGAAAATGTAGGGGAGGAAAACCAACTTGTGCAGCGCAAATTCAGTATAATAATGTTCATAATGTACTGTAGAAATGCAGCTGAAGAAAAAAAAAAATCCCATTCTCCCTGAATGTTCTGCAGGATCCCACTAGTCCATCTGGACCACCAACCTGTTCCCTTGCAGAAATGTACACTTGCAGCCTAGATATTAGCAGAACCTTTCTTTTAAGTGACAGCATGAATTTGCTGTGGTTAAGGGTGAGGGAGGGAGAAACAAACAAAAAAATAAAAGTGAATAAAAACAAAAAACAAAGGATTTAATTGCTTATCAGTCCCAATTTGACTGGCTGACTATAATTTAACAGCAGTGAAACCTTGGGCTGCAGCTTACATAAACTCCTCCCCTCCTCTTGTTTCTTTGTTGTGTATTATTATTTCTCTTGCTATACATTGTTGTTTGTTAATCGAAAAATCTATGTACAGTAAACTGAGATGTGGCCTTACCCAAAATCTGTTCTTTGATCATGAAGCCTGTATGAGATACATACCATCTCCCAGTAACAAGTAGGCTCGCAAAACAGAGTTGTCGACTGCAATGGGTAGAGTTAGTCTGAGGAAATGAAAAGGAAATGAAAAAAAAAAACAAACTAAACTGCTCATCAGTTTACCTGGAGTCTCTGCATGGCATCCTCTCTCTCCTTCTCTAGCTCGCCCACATCTGTTTTCTTGCTTTGTAGATTGTGAATTTCCTGAAAACACAATTTCAAACTGTCACAACAGCACCTTCACACTGCCTTCCTTATATACACACACACACACACACACACACACAGACACACACACAGACACACAATCCTGGTTTATCAGAATGCGGAGCATTCACCTCTTGTTTTGCACCAAAATACTTCAGTGCATACCTACATGTGGCTCATTTATCATACAACAGGTTGATGGTAAGATTTGGGGGGGGGTTCTGCCTCTTGGGAAACATACCTTGCATGAATTCTGCTGCCAGAAGTGGAACTTGTTTAAATGATGGGACACACATGGTTATGTTAATGAGGCCAGAGAACGGCAGCAAGCTGCTTTCAATGAATATTTCACTTTAATATCCTTTTTATTTATCCAGAGAAAATGGCTTTTGGCTGAGTGTACCCAGCATGCATTTGATGGACACTGCTTTTGGCCCAAACAAGCACTAAATGTTCATAAGATGAGACTTTGGCAATATAAAAATTTATATTAAAGCAGGATTGGAAAAAAGTTATGAAGGTGATTCAGGAAGGTGTTAAATAGTGGCAACTCTGGGCACCTGCTTCTTGTCTCAAGTCTTAACATTCATATTGGTGTGTTTTGTGAGGCTGTAGGCTTTTATCAAAGCTCTCTCCAGGCAGACCAAAGCAATGAGTCAACAACAAGAAAAATTATTGGCTCAAGCATAAATCAAGGCTTCAGCAGAAATAGAAATTAGAAGGGCATAAATAAAAGCCAGAAAACACATTTTTCTCTTTTGTTTATGTCCACTAGAATTTTGAAACATTTTGTCAAGTAATTATGTTTTGGACAAGACAAAAACAAAATTATTGGACCAGAAAGATTTCATTAAAAGCCTTAAAGATGATTCAGAGAACAAATCCTCAAACTGACACTTGTACTTTTCTAGCTCTCCTAGCTTAATACATTTACAGATAATGGTAAATGAAAAACAGATGGAGATTCAGGCTCACACAATCCCATTGATGTGATGTGTGCTGGTGTATTTTGCACTTGCTTTCCACACTGAACTTCCCTTCAAGGTAGTAAATAGATTTGGACAGTGTGCAGTGCATGTAGTGGACTGGGTGTCTTGCCTGGTCTTTAGCGCTCAGCAAAGCTTCTAGCTCCTCCAGTGACCGGTTCAGCTCCTCTCTACCAGTCTGACCACCAGCAGGATGCCCCAGCTGGGCCTCCAGATCTGCCACCTGGAACACACACACACACACACACACACACACAATTAGTACATACTTAATAATACTTAATACGCTTCCAATGTAAAAGATGCTTTACAATATAACAGTCCACAGACATGCTAGCAACTCTTTGAGGCTGCACTTAGGCTCAGTGATGAGCTTAATGCTAATAATGGCACAATAACATACTCACAGTGACAATTTTAATATGCTGATGTTTAGCAGGAATAATGTTTACCAGTTCACCATGCTAACATATGCTAATTAGCGCTTTTCAGGTTTTTGAACATCAACCACAGTATCAGACAAATTGAAATTTTGATCTCATGATGGTACTAAATTTATTACAATAAATTCTGAGTGGAATCACTGAGATCTGGACCGAATGTCATGGCAATCTGTCCAACAGTTGTTGAGACATTTCACTCAAAATCAGAAAATGTAAACCTCATGGCGAAGTTAGAGCAAAAGTCAGGATTCATTCTCTGGGGCAAATGAATGGAAATGATGTAGAGTGAAGAGAAGATCACAGAGGTAGATTAGCAATAGCAAATTCTATGATAACAATCAACTGAAATATTAAGTTTCCTTTGTAAACAACATGATGACCGAGAATCAGATTGTAGCAGCAGCAGAATAGACATAAGAAAATCATTAGTTTCAATGCTGCTTTACAACTCTCCATCTTGCTGTTACACTCAGTATAGTGGTCCACTCAATTGATTTTCTGATTTTCCTGCAAAAATCAATTTAGGAGTTGGACAGTTTCTGTCTGGTTCAGCTTCATAATTTAATCTAACCAATTAGTCCTCATTTTGAAGCTGATCAGTCCAGGTGTCATGGGACTATGTTATTAGGTTTTTTCCATAATTTGCTGATCAACACAGATGAGAAAGAAGAGTCTGCTCGATGGAGGTAAAAAGAAAAGGGTAAACAGGAACCCAGTATAATAAGGACAATGATGCGTGGTAGTCAGTCTCAGTTTGGAGGTTATCCCATGAATGAGCACTGAAAAGGTTATATAAACCTAATGTGTGGTAACATTTTCTAAATCCAGAGAATAACACATGGCCCTTCCCCTCCAGTGAAAACGCAGATATCAGCAACATTAGCATTGGGGGGGTTTCACATAACAGCAGCAATGTACACGCAATAATATAATTCCTTACAAATAAACACACATACAATATACACATTGTATATTTGATCATTACTACTGATGGAGATGCGGGAAACCAACAGGAGGTCATCACCTACACACCTACACATACTCACACGCGCTCTCACACTCACACTCACACACACAGAACTAAGTGTGTCTTTAGCAGCACCCATCATGCATCACTCTGCTGTGCAATCTATAAATGAATCATGGACATTTTCTTGATTCATTTACTCTCTCATGTCTATTCACCCTCCACCTCACACACACACACACACACACACACACACACTATCTATATTCACACACACACACACACACACACACACACACACACACACACACACAGTCCTAGGTCACCTTTGGGTTATTTCTATAACCTCCTAACCCTGACCTAAACCTCTGACCCAAAAATCAGCTTTTTCCCCAATTGTGGACAAGCCGTCCCCAATTAACCGGTCTTCACTGTGAAATTTGTCCCCAAAAGTAGCGTATGACAGACAGACACACAAACACACACAACTTCAAGAGAAGCATCACACATAGCTGTGATGTTTCTGTGGAAAAAAAGCTTTACTGCCAATGGTCACAGTACTGAAACCCCATGCCACAGAGACTTCTTTTTTTTTTAATGGCTGGAGAGATGTGACCTTTCATGAAAAATCAGGAAAAATGTTTCTCCCACTCTGACCCACTTCCCTGTGTTTAACATATTAATGGAAAAGCTAAAGAGGGTGAGTGACAGTTTGACTAAACAAGGACAAGCTGTTGAGCCTTTGAAGTAAATTTAACTAGATGCAAGGCACTAACACTCACAAGGTTAGGGGTTCACTTCCCACTAGGCTTTGCTTACTGCAAATGAAAACATTATTCTGAATGTTTTGCATGGTGTGGGAGTAATCTGATTAAGACAACAATCTAATTGAGTCCCCAGTGTTTTTACAGTTTGAAGCAACAGGATTTGATAATAACAGGCTTTACATGTATTTATTTTAAAACTGATAAGGCTCTCGCTGCATCGCGTTGTTTGTTTCGTGAATCTGACACCGGCTCCACTGACCTTTCATATGCACAGTTATGACAAATTATGGTCTGTTAAATGTAGATTTTAAACAAGTTAGGTCTAACCTGTTTATGACGGTAACAGTAAGGAAATCCGATAAAAAGATTTACATAGCCGTTTAAATATCCTGAGGCTTCCCTGAATTGGATTAAATGCTTGCATGCATGTCAGTGTAACGGGCAGATGCTGTAGATGAAACCCGACATATAATGAAACCTGACATGATCACATCTGACAGATGAAGCATTTGTTTGCTAATTGTGTACTGAGTGCACTTTGGCTGTTCATCTTTTGCTTACTCGATAATAAAAGGAATAACCTTAAATTCCTCAACTGCCAGTCAAATATTCAACTAGAAGTGCACAGAGGATTGAAATAAAACATGTATATAGTTGAGGTGAGATTAATAGATTAGTAGTAGTAGATTAAGATTAATAAATTGACAGAAAATTAATTGGCATCAATTCAGATACTTGACAATTAGTTGTTTTTACTTAATGTTTGGAGTTAATGCAGGAAAATCATTGATCCAGCTTCTTAAATATAAAGATCTAGTCTTCTGTGTTAGTAAATCAAATATCTTTGGGTTTTTGACAGTTGGTTGAACAAAACAAGCTACTTGAAGGCCTCAAATGGGATTTGGGAAATTGTGTTGGGTATTTTTCCCTAGTTAATGACATTTTATAGACATTTTATAGACCAAATATAATAATTTATATAATATAAAATAACCACTATATCACTCAATAATGAAAATAATCACTATTTGTAGCCCTAAATATACCAAAATAGTGCCTTGACAATTAATGATAGACAAGAGCTGGTTAAATAAAGCAGAGATGAAAATAAAAGGTTTCTCTTAAAATAAGAAATATAAGCACAACTATAAGCACAAATCTTGACCTCCTTAGTTTTGGTTCTACCTTCTACCTTTTTGTTATAATGTTGGTGATGCAGCAATCATCACAATCTTTGCTGCTGCTTATTCCATACATTTCCTTTCACCTTTGATAACTGCATCAGCTGAACATCTGAAATGTAAATATGTGTGTGAGGGTAGAGAGCCTCTCCTGCTCCCATGATGTCAACATTTCCCTTTCCCCTCCCTTTAGCATCTCCTCTGCATTTTAACTGGCAATTTCAAAGTGGCTCTTTATAGATTCCACGCTATACGCTACGTCGCACACCATCCAAGCCGAGCTTAAGAAAACCGCCGCGGGTTGAACAGGGGGTGGGGTTCACATGGTCCCAGAGGACTCAACCTCTTTGTAGCCACTCTTTTTGTGACAGCTACTGTCCCCAGAGGCACCAGCTCCATCTCTCTGAAATCCACACAAATATCACGAAGAGAGAAAACCTGTGAAAACTGTGATGTCTTTCTAAATGAATGCTCCCAGGAATGTTTTAATCTTAATAGATTGACAGGAGATTGAAAAAGCAACAGTGCTGCATATACAGTGCATGTGTAAGAGCAGTGAAGCTGAGTAAGACATCACAGCAGATACACTGAGTTTCTATTTATTATTTACTATATTCCAGTTAAATTAGAAATGTCTTTCTGTCGGTGTTCACTTTGGATCCCCAGCTGTTACAACTGATTGCTTGATGACCCCGTTTCAAAAAACAATATATATATATAGAATAAAATAAAATAAAAATAAAGTTGTCTTGCCTAAGTAACAACCAACAATTCTTGCTGAAACTGAGCAGGGGTCGGAGTCAACCCAGAAACCCAGAAAATAAACACAGAGCCTTTCTGCGGCAGATGAACACCAACATGGCTGAAGCCGAGAGTGTGACAAGGGAGAACAAGTCAGCCAACGCCAACCTCTCTCCTTCTGCTCCTACGGTGATTTATCTTCTTCCTGCAACTGGGGCAGAGAAGGGGGAGGGGGTTGGGCAGTATAGGGTGTCCTGTCCCAAAAAAAAAAAAAAAATCATCCCTGCCCCCTTCACAACACCCCGTTGCCAAGCCCTTGAGGCCTGCTCTACTTCTCGCCACCTGGTTGACTTTGCTGCAGTGTGTGTGTAGCTGTGTGTTTGCATGTATTTGTGGGGGTAACCTTCACCTGGACTTGTAGCGAGAGAGGAAACCACAACGAGGGCTATAAATAAAAGGGCCAGTTTTCTGTCACTGGTGATAATAGTTTCATTGCAGGCCGGATGCGGCAGCATTTAATTCTGTTGAATTGAGGAAGCCTTGTTAAGCTTGACCAAGGGCATCATTTTCTCTCCCTAAATTAAAGATGAAATGTCTGCATTCTGGCCCTGCAATTATCACGGGAGCCTGTCAACAGAAATATCCCAAGGAGGGAGGTGGGGGGGTGGGGGTGGCTGGATGAAAAATGCATCTGCAGTTTGGAACAGACCAAACCCATGTGGGGATTTTAGTGTGATACTAATGGATGTATGAATAATAAAAAATAAAAAAATCATCACATCCAGTTGCTCTCTATGAGTGGTCGAAACTTCATACAGTCTGTATCTGCTTTGATTCTAGCAAAGTGTTGATTGATCCTTTGTTTCTTTTTCTTGTCATTTTAAACAACACATAAGTACATATATGCATACACATAAGGGTTTGATAGTTGGATGTAATAATAATTAATTAATAATGAATAAGTAATTAAAAGCCAGATCATAATAAGTTATAAGTAAATTATAGTTAATTTGCCATCATCTTCATCTAGTTTACAATTCCCCCAATAATGCTGTAAATAATGTTTTTTTAAAACATCTACCAGATTTTTTTTGATATATTACCTTTAATATTTTCACACTACACGGAAAAGAACTACTGTGTGCAGCCGAAAATAAAAGACAGTAATGTGACAAAATAGTTTGTAGAGTGACTTGTTTTTGCTGGAGGACAAATTTCCTCCTTCGGGTGTGAAATGACTGACAGGAAGCAGAACATCACTTATGCAGCAGTGACATGAAACCTCACCTCAGCACAATGAAATAAAACAGGAAGTGTATCCAGGTTTTATAAGGTTGAAAATCCTGTTTCATGCAAGTTTCAATGACTAACTTCTGGTTTTGATGTTGTAATAAAAAAAATAAGATAAATCACTATATCTTGCAATGTTTAACTGTGGAAACTACACTGAGCGGACACACGGTCATGAAACAAAACAACACAATGTGATACAATTTGATAGGTGTTGCCCTGTGTAGCTTCGGCTCTATTCTATTTTTTTGAGGAAGTGATTTTCTTACCACTTTGTATCTCTTTAAATTTTCTTATAATGCTTTGGACACTAAAGTGGTGACTATTGGACCTCATACTACTGAGGGAAATCTACATCAAGACAACACAAAATTTGCAGGTGTTTGTTAAAACTTTAGTTCAAGACAACTCAAAAAATGCTTCCAGTCTCTAATGTGACTAAGTTGATACTGTAGTCAGTTCAATTTTGAATGTATTTTATATAGCCAGAAATCACAAACCTTTCTAAGAAAGCTTTAAGGTCTGTACAATAAAAGACATCTTCTTAGACACACAAGATAAATTCAAGAAATGAATTGAAATTTTGTACAAACTGGAGAACACCTTTTGCAATCACATGTGGTGCATTTGCTTAAAAACCCTTTAAAACACAACCTCAACAATGACAGCTGATCTGAATCAGCAACACCTCAGTGTCAGTCGACCCTAAATTGTTTCAAACTGCCGGGGTATTGTATGACGCAGTGTTATTTTGTAATGGCTGTTTACACAGTAACCTGGTCTCTGAGGCGATCGGTCTCCTCCTGGTATTCAGCTAGCTGTTTCTTCCACTGCTCCACGCTGCTGTTGGCTTCCTGCAGCGCTGCCACCAGCTTGGCATTACTGTCCTGCAGGGTGAAGAGCTCAGCCTCCAGGTTTATTTCACACATGGACCTGAGGAGAAGTCACAAAAAGATTCATTTGAAGCTGCAATAATGTATATTTTGGCCACTTTGGGGCAGGGGAGCAACCTGTAAATACAACACTGATATAATATCACTGCATAAAGTCAAAATAGTAACATTAACATTAATTTGGAGTCAATGCTCACTCTGTTTCAGCTCTGTTTTTGGTCTCTACTAATCCCTGAGGGAAATATCAGGCTCTTTTGCTGGTAAATACTCCATTACATTCACCAGCTAGTTGATAGTTTTGTCTGACTTTCATTTGGTGCTGGTACGTAGCATGCAGTGGGCTTATCTGAGCTCTTTAGCTGCAGGTGCTGAAAACAACAATAATGAGAGTGTCGAGAGTGAACCGAAACAATGAGCTGAAAGATGCTATAATGCTTCGCAGAGCTGAGGTGAACAGCAGAGTCAGGGGATAATTCGCTGTGCTCTTGTCACCAAGAGAAAACACCTTCCACACTTCACATAGTCATTTGATCTATTGTTAATATGAAAAATATTGATCAGTGCATCTTCAAAGGAACCATTCTGGTTGGATGTCACTGTCAGGAAGAAGCATTGCTGGTGAGGAAATGCAGAAGATAATGAGGTTATGCAGTGAAACATTTATGTTATGCTGCACCAGCTGTTTGGAGAAATGTGGTAGGACATTTATTTGATTTTAAAGAGCCTTAAGCCCATGGATTTCAACAGTTTCAGAGAAGTGTGAAACTAATTTTCTGTCTTGTAGCGACTTACATTTTTTCTCTCATCTTAAAGTGCAATCCTGCACAAGTGGTACCACTAACCAGTAAATCCCACATGACATCATAAGCTCCTGTCCAGGATTGATTGTTTTCAGCTTTGGTATTACAGTGAAAATAGATCCCAATGAGAGCAATATTAAATCACCAGTGTGGTAAAGCCATGTCAGATTACAAGTTGCCTCAAAATTATATATCACATTAGTCCCTATAGTTGGTTGTTTCAGGTCTGTATGTGTGGATGTTTGAAAACAATTTGTTTTGTAACTGGCTAAATGAGACAACAGTATGCACCTTTAACAATGGAAAATTACACCATTGGGTACTATGTAAAAAATTAAAAAAAAAAAACTCCTTTATTAAGAAGTGGAAAGAGAGATCAGGTCCAGTGTGCCGGGAAAGGTCAGGATTCAGAGGGGATATTTAATAAACCAGAGAGCTTTCAGATGAGAAGATGGAGTTTAGGAAGCTGAGTCTTTGCCATGACGACCAAACTAACAGCTTGGCAACCATAAAACTACTCACCATAGCAACAGGAGGGAAAAGACTGCATAGGCTCACAACAATCATAAAATAAAGTCACTGCGATAACGGGATGTAAAGCAGCCAAGGACTTGTGCCTTTTTTGCTTCCTGGTATCAGATGGAAGGTTGAGTGATCAATAATGGCCACCATAATGACAATAATTATGAGTTGCTAAATTCAGCACCAGTCAGCGCTGGCCAGCCTGTAGTCATGGACTGACTGACTGACTGACTGACACACACACACACACACACACACACACACACACACACACACACACACACACACACTGAGAACAGCATGGAATGTCAAAGCCTCGGGCCATGACTCAGGCAAGTGCTTGAAAATGGCTTTGGACAGTTTTCTCTTTCGCGTACTTAAAACATGTGACACAAACACACACAAACACACCACTGCAGCAGGGGGGGCGGGGGAGTGTCCACCTGTAGCATGGTTTCCAGGCAGACTACACATTTTGCTTTGTGGGAAAAAGCTTTTAGTCTGACTCACTGCTGCTTTTCTACTTAATCAGAGCTCTTATTTTTCTTAAGAACTGAAAGTGAGCCTTTCGTAGACATCAGCACAGCCAGTCTGTGATGCTTGCTAACAAAAACAGAGGACAAAGGAGCACAGTCATACATGTGTAAGTTGTTTTTCTTTGACTGGAGCGTTCACTCACTGCTGTTAAGGGAACAGTTTGTATTTCCTGACTTTTGGTCCCTTGTATGAGTCAAGCTCCAAATCTCCTGGATCAGTGGTATCCAGCCCTGGTTCTGAAGAACCACAGGCATGAATATTTTCCATCTCTTTGTACTCTGTCCACACCCAACCTAAATTTATAATTTAAAATCTTATAATCTTGTTTCCAGATTGTAATTTCACATTTGTTAATTCTGTCCACTCTGCACATGCAACATCTATTACATGTCCTTCTTATATTGCGATTCCCAAAGTTTCAGATTTTTATTTATTTTTGTTTGTTTTCCTTCTTCGAACCCAGTGTCTAAGCATAGTGGGTGTTTTTTTTATTTTTTATTTGTGATATTTGGTCGTATAAATAAAACTGATTTGACCTGATGTGATTAGCTCCTGATGGTGAGGTGAAGATAAAGCAAGGAATGATGGAAAATATGCAGTTCTATGGCAGTGCTGTGGGAACAAACTTCCCTGGATCCTACATTTCCCAGAATGCAACTTGATAGTGCACCTTTGCTAGAATCCACCTGCTTGGTTCAAAGGCCAAGCTCATACTCTCTAAAGCAGGTTGTCTGTTAAAAAAATCTATAGTCCCCAGATCCACATAACTAAATTACTTTCTCAAACATGACAAGTTCCTCCAGAGCCCTGGAAGACATTAAACAGGCAGAGTAACACTCCCGATGATAAGTTGATCTTAATTTGTAAAAGTCCTTCCATATTTCTGGAATTACAATAATTAGCTTTGGATTCACTTCCTGTGTGGAAGAGTGACCATGTGGGCACCAGAATTTAATCTCCAGGTAGAGGAGATGTGATGTGCCGCTCTGCTGCAGGAAGTTCTTATTATCAGGTTTGTTTTTAAGAGGGATATCTCAAAAACCCATGAGCAGCTTTCAGTGAATTTTGGTGAGGGTAAACACTCTTTAAATACTGCAATTTAATGTCTTGTGGTTGTCATTTCCTTTCCTCCTCTAACAGAGAACAGGAATTTAGTTGTTTTGAGCCGGTACCGTTCACTGAACAGAGCTCAACAAAGTGCTTAGGGCAGTTACATCAGCTCATGTAGCCGAGCTGAGGTTTAAACGCTGGATTACAACCTTTGTCGTAAACTTTCCAAACCCTAATGAATAAAATTTCCATTCCAGTACTCCCACACACACACACACACACACACACACACACACACACACACACACACACACACACACACACACACACATACACACACACACACACACACACACACACACACACACACACATCTGCTGCTCTCTCTGTTGTTTCATTCTAATGTGTATTTTATGTCTGTGTGTTTTGGGTATTATTGTTGTGGATTGTTGTTGTTATTCTTATGCTGTACAGTTTGCTGCAAGCCAAATACTCTTCCATAAACATCAGAGGTTCTGAGCAAGAATTCTCACTGCACACGCTCTCTCTCTCTCTCTCTCTCTCTCTCTCTCTCTCTATTTGTTGTTGAAACATAGTGGGGGAATCGCTGCTCAGGGCATTTGTGCCCATATGCGCCCTAAACTCTCGGCTATCGAGTCACCCCATTCTTTCAGAGTCTGACCATGTGTTCTGATCATTGCATCCATGTTATTGGTTATTAACACAAACTAAAAAGAGTAAAAGACTAACAGGATAACAATAATAAACTGCTTGAAACTACATAAAGACTCCCAAACTGAAAAATTGAATTGATCGAAACGTAAAAAGTCAATAGACAATAACTCTGGTGCACACAGAAGTACAAGGTGCAAACATCTTTTTGAACGACAAAAAAGAAAATGATCATCATTACCCTTCAGACAACATCTTCTTGACTCTTTCCTTCTCTGCTGTCAGCTCCACTTCGGCGCTCTTACTGCGGAACAGCTTTTCTTCACCCGGCCCATTAACTGTCAGCAGCGGCGGAGAATGACGATCCTCCGACAACTCCTGGACCAAAAACACATGACCCAAACAGAGATGACAACACAAACAGGACATGAGCTCTCTTATAGAGACAAAAAAGAAATCAGTTGCAGTTCTGTAACATGGTATCGGTTTCAATCAGCAAGAGGGCTTCTCGGAAATCAATGAAAAAGAGAAGAGAGCTGCAAAGATCAGTCGATTAATCAAGTTGATTAATTGCCTTGAGTTGTTTTTTTAAGCAAACAATGTCAATGTTCTCTTGTTCCAGCTTTTCAGAAGTGAGGATCTGATGCTTCTCCTGACAGTAAACTGAATATCTTTGGGTCTTGGACTGTTGGTCAGACAACAAAAAAGTCATTTGAAGACATTGCCTTAAGTTGGTGACAGTGAAATAGACATTTTTCACCATTTTTTAGACCAAATGACCAGATTAATCAAAAATGAAAATAATCTGCAGCTGCAGCCATAAAAGACAATGTTACATACAACAGCACCAGGGTTAAAAACTTGACTAAAGAAGAGATGCTTCTCAGAGTTGATTGGAATCACACTGTAAATCTCTATGATCCACACTGTAGTTTTCCTATCAGAGGAAATGAGTCCTTTAACAGAAAGTGCCTGATTAGAGAACGACACTTGTAACAGGGTACAACTGCATTTTATCTGCACATTATTTAATTAAGAGAGGACATTTAATTCTTCAACATGGCCTTACTCAAAGTTTACTGATAGTTGATGTCACGCTGTTGATCCAGGATTAACCACCTAAAATTAGATTTTGGCTCTGAGGCCCAGGCTTGAGCTGTTGACAGGCCCGTTAGCGTCTCTATATTCAGACCTGTCATCAGAACAAAACAGATACGGCACAGCAGCAAGACAGGACACAACTCCACCTGTCAGCGTTTGATATGTCCCATCTGGGCTCCTGTAAACAGGCTCCATGCAGAGCGAGCAACCATGTGTGGCGCCCAGCTGCCTTATCTTCATACAGCCTCAGAGATCTGATTGGACTGATTCAACAGGAAACGACTGAAGTGCAGTTCCTCATTCCGAGGGTTTATGTGGAATTTTTATGTGTGTGCGCATATAAATTATACACATGCTGTTGAGATATTACATACTGTATACTGCACAAGAAATAAATTTAAAAAAAAAAGAAAAGTAGTCATATAATAATAAAAAAAATCCCACCTAAAGGGCCATTCGGTAGCTGGTTTGATAGCTGAGATTCATCCTGTCCAATATTTTATATCTTCAATCTTGTATATTGTAGCTGTATTGTAACAGACTTGTTATCTAAAGATAATCTTGTTTCAGCTCAATAAAAGTTTATAGGATTAAGTCAGATCTTTATTTGTGCCTTTTTGATGTTTTTGTTACGTTGTACTTTTACCGTGACTATAATTTCTTGTTACGGCTCTGAACCAAAGCATCTGCCAAATGAATAAATACTAACAACAAACTTACTTGATGATTCATTTACAGTAATAAAGAGACATTTATGTCAATTTCTATCTGTTTTGTTGGGAACTAAAAACATTTGACGAGTGATCAACCTGACTATGTCTTTTTTCAGATAACAGATTGTTTGCGAGCAGAACTAAATAGAACCTTTATAATATTATTAATACTAAGTATTGAATATTACTTGCTTGTTAATATTCACTCATACGCCTGCAGATTTTCTGCAGTTTGGGGTTACAGACTAGGGCTACAAACAAGACAGCTGGTGTCTGACTATAACATATATATATTTATATACTGTATATATATATATACATATACACATACATATACATACATATATACATATATATACATACATACATATATACATACACATACACACACACACACATACAGTATATATAGCATCTAACCAAGTAACTTATGATATGACTGACATTTAGATAGAAGACTACACAATGTGCACCTCGCTCCTTGTTTGGTTATTGCACTTGGACGTAAAGTTATTTGTGAACAGATGTGGCTTCTAGGAGATTGTAAGTCAAGCCTTCATATTCATTCATATTTTTTGTGTAAATACACTTCCATATCTGCAACATTAAAGTCAGCAGTCTATTCCTTTGCTTTCTTTTCATCGTACCCCATTAGCAGTGTCCTACAGTATAAAGTAAAGGTTAAATAAACGGAATGGTAATACAGTACAAGTAGAAACATTCATCTTCCTCTCGTGTCAAGAGGAGACTTTGAATATGACATTACAAGCAGATGGCTTGATTCCAGCCTGGCACAGTCGAGTCAAACCAATCTGCTTTGATATTTTCCTTCCCTGCTGCCCAGAAATGGGTTCAAGCTTCCTTCCGCACTGTTTTGTGAACTATTTTCCTCAGTCTGAGGCTGTGTGTGTGTGTGTGTGTGCTCATTCTCCCTTTTTTTAAAAGCCCATGCACCCACCCAACCTGACACCCAGTCACCCACCCCTCATTGCCTTCTGTCTTTCATTGTAGAAACCTGAAACCTGTCAACAGCCAAGTGCCTCAGTGAAGCTTTACCCTGCACTTACTGTAGAAAAAGCTTGTATTATTAATTCAATCTAGCCTGGCTGTATTCCCCTGAGGACAACAGTTTATTATCTGTTGCTCAGCAGCTCTCTGTCTGTCCATATAGATGGATATTTAAATAAAACACATAGCCGACTCCACGATGTGGATGCGTACCGTGTCCAGAGGAAGGAACCCGAGAGCAGGAGAAAAATCAAAGCTAAGGCAACTCCAGTCCGGCCCCAAAGCCAACGCATCGGCTGTGCGTATCCCTGAATAATTCATACTGTGGATCATGTTTAAGTCATAAATGGGATTACAAATTTACAGCAGTTTTTCTGTTGTTGTTCACTAACAGGCTGAGTGGAAACAAGGCAGAGACATTAGAGGACAAACCTGCAAACGACCAACTACTAATTAGCCCGAGTTCAAAAGGACCTGCGAGGAATTCTCACTTTTAAAGGAGGTGTCTGTGTATTTGCTGCTCTCTGGACATTCTGCAATATCAGTGAAGTGTGTACTCTGGATTTTCTCAATTTTGAGGAATGAAACTCTGGTGAATTTAGCTGCGTGTTGCCATAACCTCTGCAGATTAAATTACACGTTGTGTTGTAGCTGCTGTCGTTAACAAAGCTTTTTCTCCTCTGCAGCAAACACCAGCTGCGTTCTGAAGCTAAATTTGTTCTGAAGTCAACTTTGATCAGACTCCAGATGAATTATTGAGCATGATAGTCCATGCAATGCTGAGTCTATGAACACCGCAGTCCCTGAGACAAAAGAAGATGGTTGTCTTTGTATTGCTTTTTGATTGTGGGGTGGAGTGTGTGTGTTTTCAACGCACCTGGGAGAGCTGAGAGACCAATATGTCCCATGATGCATCAGGAAGGAGGAGGGTAGGGGGAAAATGAGGAGAAAGAGGAAAATAACAGTTATTAGATAATTACAACCAGGCATTAAGCACTATTGTCTTTGAATACACAGTGATCCATCCCGTTCCCAGTTCATGATAGCTTTAAAGTTTTCTGCACAGGAACTAATGGATTTGTTTTGAGTTAAGAAAAGAACAGGAACAGGAGCAGTGACTGTAACTGAATGCTAAACAAACTGAGTCCTGCCCACACTGTTTGAGTGACAGGTGATCCCTGGGAAACACAACAACTGTGAGCACTTAGCCACAGAGACGGAGACAGAGTAAAGATGGAGACGGAACATTTGTTTTTCTAATTTCAGCATCAACAAAGTAAAATACAATTAAAAGAATATAAAATGCAAGAAAATCCACCCTCAATACAAACTGAAAAATAAATATGTATGTATATGTGGATGTGTGTATTTTAACAACAGCTCAAACCCCAAAGCAACAACTTCAAAAACTTCTCAGGGTCCCGTAATCGATTATAATCGATGGGATCCCAGATACGTTAAATACTAAACAGCTTTCATGATGATGTCACTGCACCACTGTTCGTCTTTAGTACATCTACACTGTTTACTTATTTATCCCAGCATCAGTCCATTTGCTTTTCCTTAGCTTTATAAAGCTCCCGTTTCTACACCGTGTTTCATTGAGACCACAAACCTGCTTTATTTATTCATGTGTCCATGCATCAGAGGTACATGCTTAGGCTCCTCTTGGAGCACCTGTATTCCCCACTACACACACGCGCGCGCGCACACACACGCACACACGCGCACACACACACACACACACACACACACACACACACACACACACACTTCTTTTTAGTTGGTTTTAATGCCAAGTCTGTGGTATAAAATATTGATGAGTGGCATTCCTCTCTGCCTCTGCATAGATACCATGTATGGGAGGAGATGGGGAGGAAAAAAGCTCCAATCAGCAAACGCAAACAAGTGACAGCTGTTACTTGTCAGAGGAGGGAAACAGCGTCTGTATCCTGCTGTGCTCACACTGTTGTTTAGTTGATTTATGGAGAGCGATTATTTCTTCTATACTGTTTGTTTTAGTATGTATTCACTCTCACTGTGGAGCTCAGTGGTTCACAACCTTTTACTCTCTGAGAGATGCCACCACCCAATCAGATGTGCTCAGGAACCCGTTCATTAACACCACACACCATGCTCCAAGTGTGTTTCTTTTAAACTGGATAGGATGTTGTTTATAAGGTGATGTTTTTACAATAATTTGTCTTTTCAGTAGGAAAAAAAAAAACAGCAAAAATTACACTAGTTCTACTACCATTTACATCAGTAGAAGCCGCATATGTCCCTTTATCCATCACTTTAAGCAAACTATTCTGACTTGTCTTCCCAGTTGCTCACTAGTTTTTCCAGGCACTCTCAATCACAGCATTTAGTGTTGAAAGAATAGTTTGACACATTGGGAAAAACGCTTCTTTACTTTCACACACGCGTGAGATGTGAGGATCTAATGTGTACGGTAAATATGTGGTATGGACCTTCTACTCTAACTCTCTGCAAGAGAGCGAATAAGTGCATTTCCCAACATGTCTTTAAGGTGTTAACAGCTGGCTGAGGTTGGTGGGAGGTGTGTCATGTTCAGTCAAGCCCATCATAGCTGGTCATTTAATGGTGACTGGGAAAATAAACACACTAAAGATGATATTTTACTTCAAATTAGCTGAATCTTTCCATTAACCCCGTGTTAACTGCAGACATACCTCCTCTTTCTGTCATCAGTGCATTACTGCAGGCTTTACCGACCCGTGTTGCTCAATTCAGCTGGTGCTGTCACAGTAAATGGATCAGCTCAAAATTAATAGTCATACAGCGACTATGTTCATCTTTAAGTTTTGTAGAATTTGCTGTTGTTTGTAAGAAGTATTTTCACGGCCCTGTATCTGTTCTTATCTTCCTGTAACAGACTGGAGCTGCAGAATTTTCTGATCCCTCTTCCTGTCTGGTTGAGTCACTCTGAGGCCTGTGATCATATTTTATTGGATAGAATTACAACTGAAAATGTCCACAAATACAAGATGTTTTAGAAAATATTCTTTGGCAATTTCCAGAAGGAGGGCTTCACCGCTCACACACCTCACACGCCTACTATCCTTGCTGGTACATATAAATAAATAATTTGAGCAGAGCCAGATTAGACAGTAGGAAGACAACTGTTATTGCCCTGTAGTTGTATCCATTTTATCTTTCCTAATATTTCAATATATTTATGACTATCGTCTTTAATCTTGAGAGGAATTATTTAAAATGTGTTAGGGGGTTTTGTGTTTTACAATATAAAAAGGCACTAATCCGAACAGGGTTATAGGTTCACCGGTGCCCCCGGTGAACCCATAACCCATAATCTTTATGTTTTTTTCTCGCACAAATCTCGTTATTATCTTTGCACTTGTCAATTTCAGAATGCTCTCTGTGTTGCTCTGTTCATCATTCTTCATTTTTATCTCACTGACTCCTCCATCTCCTCCTCCATCTTATCTCTGAGCTCTGCAAATATGCCTGAAAGCTGAGGCTTTACTGAATGCAGATCCCCTGCTGCCAACCACATATCACACTTAGGATATGTGCTTTGTAAAGCCCGAGGCTGCATAGATACAGCTCTGCAACACTGTGGATTGGTTACCAACCAGGGCTGTTACTGACCAGCTGGAGGTGGTGCAAACCGTACTGATACACTGGCTGAAGGAGAGAATAAGAGCAATACACGATGCTGCAGCTTCTCTCCAGCATTGTATAAATCATCATTTTCTCTGTTTGTTAGTTTATCATAAATGAACATTATTTTGATAAACAGTTGCATATTTCAAACTCTAATCTGCACTAGTCAGAAGTCACTAGTCTTTCTTGTTTTGGTTTTTCATTATCAATATGCCCAAGTGTTTGTAGAAGGCTTTCAACACAGGCGCGCACACACACACACACACACACACACATTTTGGTACATAAAAACCACATCAGCCCTAATGGAGCTCTTAACTTGCATTATAGCCACTTTGGATCCCATCAATAGTTCATACACAAAGTACCATCATGTACTCACCCACCATAACAGCTTTGATTGGGTTTTACTTCTTACATCACACAGGTTCAGGAACTCAGCAATGAGGTGTTTTACAACATGCAGGGGCGAGTCAGAAGTGAGAAGATGTGATAATAACCACAACAACACCTCTGTGTTTACTGCCTGACACAAAATCAATGACTGCTGTCTTATAGAGAAATGGGTACAGGCTGCAAAGCCTCTTCTGACCTTGTCTGACTTTTATTTTTTCTTCAAGGCCTCGCTCAACACTAAACAAGCGCTCTAGTTGCCATGGTAACAGGATATAACACTTCTGCCTGCTGCCCTGTCACTGACCCTGACCTCTGACCTCCAACCTCTGTTAGTATCCTATTTAAGGACACACATAGTGTTTAGTGTTTGTGTAATTAAGTACATAAATAAATAAATAATAATAATAAATAACAAATTTATACAACTCCTCCACTATATTTCAGAGAGAACTACTGTACTTTTTACTGTATTACATTTATTTCACAGCTTTACTTGCTAATTACATTGTATATTAGGATTTTAAGATGAACTTAATATCAACTTTAACATAAATTATGGTACTTTGTAATAGAATAAACTACCAAACTGTATATACAATTGTTTAAATTGGCTGCAGTTCATCCAACTACAACAGTAAAAGGCTAAAGTGTCAGTAATAATTATTCAGTAATAGACTGGGGTCATTTTGCTACATGCTGACTGTTTGATACTTTCATATGAATGAGTACATTGTGCTGGTAATACTGTAAATTGTTCCGTAAGTATGGAAGAAGGCTTTTTACAATGTTGTGTTGCTGCTTTAGCTTAAGTAAAAACTCTAAGATCTTCTTCTACCACTGGTGTGCGACATGCAGGGGCAAGAAATTCACTTCACACGTGTAAAACTGGATACGATCACAATATCAGCCTAGAACATGTGCAGAACAGAATCATCAGCTTTTAAATACTTTTTTTTTTTTTTTTTTTATAGAGGAAGGTGGTTTTTGACACGTCTTTTCCTGATTTTCCGCTTTGTTTTTCTTTGCATTTTTTATATTTTTTGCATTTATACTTGTTTTATAATAAAACACTTTGTATCAATGTTAATTCAAAAAGTTGCCGAGTGGTTAAGATGCATGGCTCCTGACAGCAATGTCCCCAATTCAAGGTCCTTTATTGTGTGTAATACCAATCTCTCTGCCTGATTGCTCCCTGTCTGAAGTTTCACTGTCTCATAGACAGAACGACATCAAAACAACAAATACAGAAAAACATATTTTTACTGATTGCAAAGTAAGCTTTTGTCCACTACAAATATATTTCAGAGTAGTCAAAAAGAGAGTAATTGATCAATGTCACATACACTGATGCATTAGCAAATTGAAACACAATAAGAACTGTGAATATCAATCAATATATGATAAATTACAGCCAACTTTGCAGTTTAAAAGCATCAAAATGACTTTTTACACTTCATACTGAACCAAATTACAAAAAGTATTTCGATTTAAAATTGAGTGAGTAGAGCAACAATATTCGAGTATTTCACTCAGTTTTGAGCTATGAATGCAAAAAGACACAAGATACAGTAAGTCTAAAGATCGAAGCTGGTCGAGGGGAAAATTACTGATCAATTTGACCTTCGACCTTCCATTCTCAGGTCTGCTTCTGTGCAGCTCAGTTGAGCATCAATACTCTGAGAAAAACCGATGTAAGCCCCGTGGCATTGCGAAAAACCATATTTAATAAAAGTTTGTTGTTAAATGTCAGCCAGTCTTAAGAAATATTGTTCAATTTCTGCTCTGGACTTCTTGTACTGTTGACCTTCATGGTAATGAGGTTTGTTTTTGTGGTATCCACCAGTGTTTTCTCTCGGTCGCGCTAAATAAATAGACAAGACAAACGATTGGCTCTTATCGGACTGTCTCACAGATGAGGTCGAGGGTGGCAGCGTGACTCTGCAGTCTCTCAGACCTGCTGAGTGGCTCTTTGGTAAGACTTACAGTCCACACACACAAAAACATTAACAAGCACTTTACTGTTTTGAATCTATGTCACCATGACAACTAAGCTAAGAAACTAAACTTAATGCTGAAACTTGGAAGAACTAACTAATAAACAAGACTGGCAGAGCAGCTGTGTGACATTTATTCCCCCATGTTTGTACAATTAAATCATGTCCTCCCAAACCGGGTGTGTACTTGTTGTTGTGTTATTGTCGACGCTGTAAATGTCAGAAGAACTGCCCCAGTAAATATCGCTCTGTGTCTTGTAATCTACTCGTGATATCGTTACTGGGCGGCTTTTGAGAGGGAGAAAAGGTGAAAGACAAAAAGTTTCTGCTGCAGGCAAACTTTCACTTCTCTTCTATCGGGTCCACCAAGAAATCACAGACGCTGGCAGAATAAAAGCTGGCCATTGTCCTTTCAGCGGCAGCAGCAGCCAGATTCCCCTCAATTATAGATGAATCAGCTCCCCTCCCCTCCTCCCACCATCTCCCGATCCCTCATTCTTCTTTGTCTCAGTACTGGCCATTACTGCCCCTCCAAACACCTTCAATGCCGGCGTCTCTCATCTCCATTTGTCATGCATGAAACCTTTGAATGGAGTTAACCAATGGGAGAAATAATGGAGCAGTCAGATGGGGATCCATCTATTTCCTCATGGTTCTGTATATTTTTAAAATAGAAACACAGCCACTGAGTTCACTGTCATATTTAAATTTTTTCATGTTTAAAATGACATTTCTTTTTAAGTCTGTTAAGAACTCTCACTTGCAGTGAAAGCTTTTCAGTTTAGATTCATAGTATAATACCAGTGGTTTTTAAATCATTACTGATCTGATCTGCACACAGTCACAAATATCACTGATAATTTTACTCCCATTAGGGTCAATTCAAACAAATCTTTTTTTTCTTACACTTACATCTCATTTCCCTGAATTCAATAAATCCAGTAAAACCATTCTCCATGCAGATTATTTAAGTTTTATTATTGCGGTTTGCAGTTCTCTACTATTTGAGAGGTCTCCCATCCACCCATGACCTTATTTGTGGTGCTAGAAGCATCTCAAAACTCAGTTTCTATTCAGACACAATGTCCCAGTTACTCAGGATAATCCACAGGCCCCTCTTGGGGACAGACTTTTTGTATTTCTTTCCCCCTCTGGGAGAAAATAGTTCCCAGTGAAAACTATTCACTCTAAGTGAATTTCCAGAGCAGCAAATGAAAAAGTTTTCATGAGGTGACTTCTTGTTATGGTACAAAACTACTAATAAATTAGCAATGAAAAAATATATGTAAATGATCCCTTACTCACATTATTCACTTATTTTGGCTGATTAGACCTTGGCTTTTACAGAACATGACTGATTGAGCTCTGATATTTTTGTCAGACACAAAAGCTTTATGAAAGAACAGCAGTGCATTACCTGTGGAGCTGCAATGTTGAGCGCAGGATTGGCCAGTTCAAACCTCTCCTGGGATTTCTCTCTGGCCAAGCGGGCCGCCTCCTTCACCTCTTTAAACTGCTCTGCAAACTGCAGGCAGAGGGAGAGAAGAGACAGAGGTCACACTCTGTGCCAAGAAAACCTAAAAACTCATCACTGCAAGAAACACACACTCTTCCATATCTTCCCCCAGTAACTGTACATTTATAATAATGTTGGTTTATCAAAAAAAAAAAATTCTTCACTCCAGAGGAAAATCAGGATGTCAGAGGTATATTTGTTCAATTATATTGTCTGGGTATTTTGACCTCTGACTCCTTTTCTGCTGTTGCACTGTAATTCACATAATAACAACTTCTGTTGAAAATAAAAAAAATGAAATAAAACTGTTGTATAACTTATGTTCCCTCATAGCAAAGTTCTTGGAGATAAATTAAGATCTGGACAGAAAGCGTCCTGTGAAATCTGTGTCATGGTGAGAAAAAAGCGTATTTACATACTGTATGTGTAACAGAGACACTTTGTAAGTGTTGGTGTAAATGTAATCCAGCTGAATATGTGCTAACACAAAGTGAAAACAGGGCCTGTATCACCCCTTCACTGTCCTCTACCACTGTCTGTGTAACAGTAGTATTTGGTTTGACCGTTGCCTCGATGTTTATGGGTGATGTTTACCTGCTGCAGCTGCTGCTCTGTGGAGAAGCCCAGGCCGTAGACGGTGTTGGCCCGGCTGTCTGCCCACTGCCCGAACTTCTGGGAGGTCTTGGTGAAGGTCATGTTGGGGGTGATGGTGCTGTTGATGATGGCCTGGCACCGTACAGAATGACAGAGGTAACAAATAGCATGAATAACAAAAGGTAGATCAATGACCCTGGTAGGAGAAGTGAGACACTGTTATCATACATATGTGATATAAATAGTATAAATAGGAATGGAGCAAGAACAGGGAGGGATATTTAACATGATGTATTAAATATGTACAGTGGAGGGTGTTCAACCATCATTAATTCCTGCTACTCATATGTTCACTAAAAAACATTTATTATTAATAGTTTACATTTTGTTTGAATATTAATGGGGTTTTTTTTAAATTAATTTGTTATATGCCCTTCAGTTTTATCTGCAACCATATTTCAATTTAAGCTGTCAAGTAAAAAAACAAAAAACAAAGCTAGAGTATCTTTGATGAAGGTGCATTGCCTCTGATTTTGCCATAACTAGCTGGTGTGCTGCGCATTTATTTATGTCCTGTAGTCAGACACATGCATTTATTAAACTACTTCACGCTATTATAAAAAAAAGCCTGTTTTCAAAAGAAGGTAATTTTCAAGGACAACCAATTCACAAAATATAAAGTCAGTGACCAAGAACATTAATAATTCCTGCCACCTTTAAATGCCAAATTCATTACAGCACATTGTTATTTTTCATATGTAAGTACTTGACCAGAAAATATGCTGATTTTCATCTGGTTATCAAGAGGCCAAATCTTTACTGCGCAGCACTCCAATAAACAAGCTGGTGTTGAAGCTTTTTCTTTCTTACTGCTCATTAGCAATGATAAATAATGCGCACTTAAGTGAGGACCTGATTGTAACAGCTACATGTAAATTACGCAGTCTCGAGCCCTTGTTGTTGTGGTACTTACGGTTAAATAATCATCATGGAGATCTACTGGAGAATGTGCTACGTGCAGATAAAGACAGAATGTCTAACAACCAGGCCGCAGAAAGAAAGAGAGCTAAGTGAAAAAGCTTGTTGTGGTGTTCGGTGATCTGTTCAGTAACCGATCATCAGTCTGATAAGGAGGATTTATTGCCAAATATAGATTTCCTGAGTGGCTTCTCCAAAAGCCTCTAATCTCAGTACAATACGCTGGCACACATGGCTGATAACAACAAAGAGCAGTGAGTTTTATTTTGGCGCTAAAAAGATATCTCGTTAGTGCTGCGATTCCCAGGTGCTTCAGTGTTGCTGTGGGTGTGGCATTACCGATGTGGATGTGTTAGAAATACTCTGCTGACAATGTGCATATTTCAGCTTAATGACAGCCACAGATCTGTTTCCATTTATTTGAAGGACCTCAGAATAGGATGCACAGAGTGGCCTCAATGAAATGAAAGTCAGGAGAACATGATATTACACAAATGAAGAGCCCATACACTAATACAATACTAATAGCATATGAAAGAAATACAGCTGAATGCAACAAGATACATTATGTTACTGCAGAAGTAATGCAATCTATGATTAAGCTAAAAAACTGCTTTTAAAGTTTGCTAAATACACCGATGTGAAAAATGTGGCTTAACAATTGATTCTTGACATTTCTCCTTTTAAAAGCATCTAAGCAGAGCTGCTTGTTTTGTGAGTCTTGACCTGAAAATGTCACCAGATAAAGAAGTGTGTATGTTGTGTGTCACCCAGTGAAGAAAGTCTGCTGCCACACTTGAACCACTCCGTGCTGACCAATGAAAAGCTCTCATTCCTCCATCCTTGTCATCAGCCTTTTGTGACCTTTCCCTGCCTTCCGTCTCCTATGTATGTGAGTGTATGATGTGAACATATGCAGCAGCATTTACACGTGTGCATCTGTGTGTTCACGTGTGTTCGGCTCTCACCTTAGTCCCACCCACACTGATGATGCGGTAGACGCTGCGGCTCGCATCGTAGAAGAAGGACACGGTGACGGCGTGTTTGCTGGCCGGCAGCCAATTGCGTTTGGTGGCCGGGTCAATCTGGAAGACATGAGCTCTGGCGCTGAAGATGGGCTGCTCCCTTTAAAAGACATAACAACAGACCATATTGACTTAATGTTACTGGTTACTTAGTGTGTAAAAGAAGAGGGTCTTTCAGTTTTTTGGCTAAGGCTGCGGCTGAACATGGTTTCTTGGCAGGAGGGAGTGGTGGTGATTGTCACTTCACAACAGCTTTGGCCATTGTTGTTGCCTTTATAAGACAAGAGGTTATGATGCTCCCTCTGAGCAGCGCTTCGTCTTCAGGGCAGATCAGAGGCTACAGTGAGTCGCTATCGGAAAGTGATGAGACAGGCCACAGACATCTACACATCATTAAAACAAATATGGAATAATGTAAAACATCAAACCACATGATAATTCACAAACACATACATACAAATGAATTCATAGTTACAACTATATCAAATCAAATAGATCCGATCTGATCTGTAGTTCTAAGGCAAGAAAATACTTACAGATATTGACACATATTCATCTGTGGCTGCAGAATTTCAGATCTGCCTGTTTTGTAACCTTGTCTGTGGCCTTGAGATTTTACATGTCATATATGATAAATTACTACATGTTTGAAATTGAATCTGTAAGTCATTTCTTACAACACTTACACCTTGTTTTCAGGCAGGTAGATGCTTTTTAGATACATGCGGTATATCAACAAAAACTTAATATGTTTATTTGACAGCATGTTTACAGCATAATCTAGTACTGGAGAACGAACTAAAAGGTATCAGTGTTTAATTTTAACATTATTTCAAACCTTTGGACAAACCAGAAAGCAAGAAAATACAAGGCTTTTTTTTGGCTTATCTTTATGTTATTCATTAGTGTTGTCCTCCATTACTCTGTGCCTGTTATTGTCCCATGAGCACCTGCTGGCAGTGATGCAGTAGTAATCTCCTTTCTACAAAAATAGCTTGGTGTCCCTTTTGAACTTATTTCAGTAACATTTTCTTTTGAAAGCTAATCTCAACTCCTTTTTCTTCAAATATGTAAAACATGTTTCTGTTTTACCAGTAGGCCTAAAAAGTAGGTGAGATTTCTTTTATTTTAAGAAAACAGACAGACAATGTACAAGATCAATACTACTAGAACAAACGAAAACCATGAGTATAAGCGGACACATATATCTTCTGCTTTGCACCTAATTTGTTTAAACGTTGTGCCATCAGTCACTTTCTAACCATACGTGTCACTTTCATCAGACCTCATCATTTGTCACTCAGCTCCATCACGAACAGCAAGGTGAGATTGAGGTCAAGAGTTTACATAGACATGCTCACGGAGCCAGTTTCTCTGTGGAGAAATAAACCTCAGGGGATGTGAATCTGAATGTTGTCTAACTGCATCCATCATTATAATACACTGATGTGAAGGGTTAGTTTCAGCAGACATATTTCCTCTGGGCTGTTCAGCTACACTAGTTGTGGGTTTTATTTGCAAATGTCTTGAGACATTTGTTGATGAAACTCACTGTATGATTCCACACTTAAGCAACACAGGTGAAATGGAAATCAGTTTGTGGAGCTTAAATAACAGAATCTGATAATAATGATTTTCAAAAAAAAAGTCCACAGTTAATATTATACTCAATCATTTTAATTACCTTTTATTTTCTGCATAAATTTAAGTTAAGTTTGTGGATAATCCTGAACAACTGGGACATTATTGAAATTCATTTTTCATTGTTGTAAGCACCACAACTTCCATTTATCTCCACTTATTCGGTGTGGTGTCAGAAATCTGCAACAGAAAACCTTAACAAATGAAACCAAATGTCTGGCTAGAAGTGGTTAGATGCTGTCAAGCGTACTGTAAGTGGTAAGATATTTTTTTTGGGCGGGGGTTCGGGTGAATTGACCCTTTAAAAGGTTACAATACCATATTTTATTAATATTACAATAGATAGTATAATCATAACATACTTGTGGCTCTAAGTAGAACTTTGTAATGTACACTACAAGTGTGGTTACCTACAACTCCTGAACATAAATAGGAAAACCCATGATACTACACAACTTCCTGTATGGTTTTACTTTATTTCTATTTAATTTTAGTGAGCCACTGGGTTTAATCTTTAATAGAGGCACCACTGTGAGTCCTCCAATTACACCAGCCAGTTCTGCTGTGACGTCGGCTTTGTTCCTTTTATTTTACAGCATGTATATAAATATACTATCTATAGGTGTTATTTTTGGATGGAATCATTTTTCAAAAAAAATTGCAATACATTTCAGTTGATAAGCTTTCATGTGTTACTTTATGAAAAAAAATATATAGGCCAGTCATGATTAAACATGCCTTCACAGCTCTTTTCATATGCATTACTTGTGTGTGATAGAAAAAATGGAAACATCAAGTTCAAGAAACCTTTCTTAGCACATGGATCAAAGCCACAAGGCTAAAACATCTGTTCTCATCATTAAAATTAATTGGATATCATTATCATTTCATTTTGTTAATCTCTGAGTGAAAACCTTGCTGACTTTTTTGGCACTTTGGGACCCCCTCTTTTCCTCTGTGTGTACGATGATGGTGGATAGAGCTATAAATAAATAGGACAAAAACACGCCCAATTTCCAAATGTGACTGTTTTTTTTCCAGAGACCTCGAGGTCACTGATGCTCTCCAGTTGTAATGAGGCTATTGTTGCAAATGAAGCTGAAGATTTGCTAACCGCTAGCAGTCCAATTAGCCGTCCTGTTCACTTTGAAGTCAAACTACATACACTCGCTGTGGAGACTAACGGTGGGGAGAGGCTCGCAGGACGACGAGGACCACTACACAGGCACTTTGGTGAATTCATGCAACATTACACAGCTAATAGAGTTTGCATAATGTTAATGTATGCAATGAGCCGTTCCCATTGCAAGTCAATTATATACCAACATTAATGAGGATAATGTGCGCTGGAAGGAGGCTCTGCTCTTTGTCTAAGCAAGAGAAATAACCATTTATATAGGTCAGTACTGGCTATATGAAGCATTGTTCCCACTGGATTTGGTTGGAATTACTGTATAGTTCCAAACAAACAATAGTCGCTATTGTTTCAACACAGATTACTGAAGCTACAGTTGACAATAGAGAATAGCAGCACAGGCAAGGGAGAAGATTTAGGTGCCGTCCAGGTCCAGGAGAGTAACAGCTACAGACACAATAAATATGACGAACTAGGAGTGATTTATTGGTTTTATTTCAGTTCAAATATTCTGATAACTATCCTTTTAATTCCTCACAGAGATGGGAGAAATACTCTAACATTGAGGCTGCCATTAACAGGATTTCTATGACAGTTGGTCAAGAACTCAAACAAAAAGCACGAGGTCTGATTTTTAGTCAAGCAGGGCACATAGGACATTTCTTTAATAAAATTGTTGTGACCTCTGGGTTCAGTTTAATGTTTTGTTTGGTTGCTGTTGAAGCCAGTTGAAGTTTTTCTTTCATTTCATTTCTTCGAGGACAGAAACAAATGGATTTGTTAAATGAAACCTCAGTGGATGGAGCTTTTGAGTGCAGGTAATATGAAAAGTATATAGGACAACAAACCCCAGTCAAAATAAAAGATGATTATACCAGCAGGCTAGTAGCTAACTAGTTTGTCTGCATAGCTATAAACTCTATATTCATTTCCTATTTCACTGGGCATCAGCCCAGGAGGCTGCTTTGCATCATACAGTACGTCCCTGCCTTGTGACCTCTTTCTATAGACCTTTTCCACAGCAGACATTTTGACATGTAATAGCAGGAATGGCACAGGTACAATTGATATCATTAATAATGGCTCTGTTCCACTTTGGTGTGTCAGTTCCAGCGCCCTGCTGTCGTCCATGCTGGCTCACGGGCATGGCAGGGAACATGGCCATTCATGTTCTTATTCACACCTGTGCTTTTCCTCTCTAACAAGTCAAAATGTGGCTGCAAGGCCTATTAGATGAGAAACTATCACAAACTGTTGAGGTGGTCAGTGCTGCTACCAAGGCAGTAAATTAATGAAGTTGTCTGACCACATTGAGTAAGAAAATTGCAATGCTTTTATTATATTTCTATGATGATGGCTGTTTGGACTAATCACTTGGTTTTCACCATGGATGTTTCTTTCAGTCTACAAAGGCATTTTATTTATGCACAATATTTTTGACTCTGAAAAACATAGAAAAATTTTAAATGCCAGAATGCAAAATGCTTTAAAGTTGACCACACCTTACACAAACTTGTCACCAAATGCTCTGAAAAGCACCATATTCTTTTCCACTACTACTGCAGAACTGTTGTAAGTCACTTCTAAGGAATAAAGTTGGACCGAGCCTAAAAGGTCAGGAAATTTCACAAACAAACATTTGAATGTGGAACCAGAAAAAAATGTTTTTTTTTGGTTCTGTCCCTTGGTGTTAAATTAAGACACCAAGATTATTTCTGTCTGTCATCCCAGCCCAAAAACCTAAAATTCATCCTCCTGACAAAGAAAATAACCACACACTGTTACAGACAGGGCATCTGTAGGTTAACATCAACATCGCTTCCAAGCATTCGGTCACTGCATCAAACTTCCCAGCTGAGTGTTATAGTGCATGAGTTATCATCTCTATCACCTTTAAAAGCTACTCTGCAGTTGCCCTTGAGAAAGGCCTTTTTAGCATTTATCAGGTGGAAATATGTAGTGGCTGATGGCAGAGTCATAAAACCACGCAGCTCCACAATATCAATGACTACAATTTTATGAAATTAGGAATTTAGCCATTTTTCAAGTTCATGAAAATAAAAACAAATGTCCTGGATATTATAACAAAGCTTTTCAGGTGGAAGAGTTTGATCTGATGCTCGTAAACCTCAATATATCTCACTGTCAGGAGGTAAAATCCTGCTTTAACCTTCAGACAAAAATCAAACACATTAATAGCACCATGAAAGCACTTAATTATATTCAATAAAACTAATTATCTGGCTGCGTAACAGATAACCAGGGCGTTAAAGGCATTAAGCCAGTAAGGCAAAATAAATAAGAATTAACATCAAAGTAAAATG